TTACACACCTCATCAAAATTACTCTCCTACACCACAAAATTATCAATTCTCTTATTCATACCCTCCAACCACGCAACCTTGTCTGCCTAAGAATAATATTTGTCCCTTCTGTGGAGGATGCCACCATATATCCTTTTGCCCCGTTAAATTTCCATATGACCATCCTTACTGGGCAACTGCATACCCCACTTCGTCCTCCCCACAACTTACAAACACAAATATTTGTGTCAATTAGAGGCGCTTTTTTTAGGCCACGTGCGGCGCTTCAAAGCGCCTCTAAAATTTGTGCCGCAAATTGTTATCAGAGGCGCTTTTTAATTGAGAAGCGCCTCTATTTTTTTCCCCCGAATTCTTGCGGCACTTATTTAACTAGAAGCGCCTCCAAATCATCTAGGCGTGCGGCGCTTATTGAATCAAAAGCGCCTCTAAAGTTATTTTTTTACGTGCGCGCGGCGCTTATATACTAGAAGTGCCTCTATTTTTTTTGTTAATTTCGATTTGCGGCGCTTATAGCTCAGAAGCACCTCTGATATCACACTTTGACTTGGCTTTAGCCTGGATCTCCCAGTAGAACCATGGCTGCTGTTATGAGAATTTCTAGGACTGGCATCAGCCTTTTCCATGAGCCTAGTGGCAGCAGTACCCACAATTTTGGTTGCAAGATGGATGGATTTGGCAATAAGGTGTTACAGTGGTATATCTATGCAGAATGAAAGGTTGGCTTGCTGCTGAAGCTGATACCATATCACTTAAATGTTGGGATAAGGTTAAACTCCTTACTCTAACTGCTCGTGTCCTTGCCCTTTTTTGTTCAAAACAGGGGAGTGGAGAAGTTTCATAAGATGTTATGTTCGGTTCATTGGAGGAGATAATTTAGAAAATTATACTTCATATAAAAGATTCACTTTATATAAACTCTTGTGATTAGAAGATAGTAATCTATATGTATAGCAATAATAGTGAGAACGGTTTTGATTAAACTATGCAAAATAGAAATTGTAATAATATCCAACTCCAAAATACCCCATATTGGGGCGTGAGCAATGAAAAGTTCAGAGGATTCTGTATCTTCCTTGCTTCATCCCATTTCCAAAAATCTTCCCTAACCAAACATGCAACATCCCCACTTTCCTTTTCTTCACTTCCAATGTTCATACAAGGAACATCATGTTTAAACTGCATCTTGATGATATTGAAATAAGTATGTAGGAGATTTAATATTAAGACAAGGAACTAAACTTTGGGCTGCTTAACTAATTATTTTAATTTCTATGTCATGAAGATGAAAAATGAGAGTTGGAACTTGGAAATGCATTTGAAGTCCTTTTTCTATATCTAGAATCATATAATTGCTCTAACATATGCCTCTCGTATATCATTGGGATTCACAGGAAGAATTCACAGCAACATGTGAAAATGGCAGCAGCAGCACTCTGTCAAAACAGCTAAAAACTATTCCTATCTCTCTGAATTCTTCAAACCCAAAAGACCAAAACGTACGTTTTGAATAATATACTTCTGGTCAAAGAGGAACCTTTCAGCAAGGTATCATCAAGACATCGACTAGACATATTACTCCGTACTAAAGTTTAGAAACAAAATTTACTATTATGCTGTAAATAAGAATACAATATACTAAAGTTTATAGTAACTTAGAAATATCATTAACTTTAGCTGAAGTTAACTCCATAAAAATAAATCAAGAACTCCATGGAGATGGAGAATAGAACCGAAAACTTTTCCCCAGCACACATATACATATATAGTAGTTCATCGTCAATCTATCTCCTTGTACAATTCATATTCGATTTAACAAAAGAAATAACTACAACTCGACATATATATAACTAAATAAAGCACAATCATGCAAAGAATGTAAATTATAACAAATAAATTCAAATTAAAATAATATAGAAAACCTAGTAAACATAAAATTATTGCCAAATAATATACTAAAACTGAAAATTAATGCATAGTAAGACTAAAAAAATTAAAATTAACAACAAATAAAGGATTAAAGATGGGAGTAGCTTTCTGACCTACTTTGGGAAACCCGTCGGTGGAGGCTGAGTTCCGCGGAGGGTGGCTGGTCTTCAGAAGGCAGACCGGCTGCAGCACACGTTCGAGAGTACAACAGAACAGGTTCGGTGGCACCTCGGCGCACCTCAGCGTCGCGTTGGTAGCGGTTTGGTGGCAGCAAGCATCCGACGGTCTGAGCTTGCGTTGTTCGCAGCTCTGCAGGTTCGGATGGGCAGGCAGATCAGAGTGAATCGCAGGTTGGCTGCCTGGTCTGAGCTTCGACGGGCGGTGCAAAGCTTCCGACGGCCTGCAGAATCGGCCTGCCGCTGCTGCGCTTAGGGCGTCTGTAATGGTCGTTGCTGCGCTTAACTTCAGTTGTTGGTGGGATAGGGTTAACGATTCAAAACACGAAGTTGCGCATATAACTTCAATTTTTAATTTACAGGCGCTTACGGACGAAGAAGCGCCGCACGCCTTTTTATTTTATTTTTAATTGTAAGCTTCGAGGTGCTTTACCGAGTAAAAGCGCCGCACGTTTAGTTATTTTTTGTTTAATTTTCACGAAAAACATGTTTAAAGGCGCTTTTCTAGCCCGAAGCGCCGCACGCGTAAAATTCCGAATTTTGTTTTAATTCGGAGGCGCTTTCTGTATAAAGCGTCTCAAATGAAGCGCCTCTGTTTGACGTTTTTCCACTAGTGAATGTTTCAGCCATTCCTACATCTTTGCCGAATAATGAGCCACATAATCAATTTAAGAAGACACTTTCAGAGATTCTGTCTGAGTACACAGAGATGATGAGGGAGAGCACTTCAGCCATAACAGAGAGCACTTCAGCCATAATGCAGAGCACTTCTGCCATGATGAAGGATATAAATACCATACGGAGCCATCTGGTAGAAGACCAATCCGAGGAGACCAATATGGATGATCACGTGAGTGAGTCAGACAATGATGGTGGGAATATGATGGATGATACACTTCCTGATGATGTTGAAGACTCACCTATGTTTGAAGAAGAAGAAGAAGATATTAGTGTCAAGTTGTTTTTCGAAGAATACATGAAAAAGTTTGTAACGGCACAAGATGTAACGGATGAAGACACAAATCACTGTGATTTCCATACAGAAACTCACCAGCCGTTTGATTTACCATTAGTCTCAACACCTGAGGAGGATAAGGAGAAGATCGGTCATTGTTATTGTTATTGTTATTGTTATTGTTATTGTTATTGTTGTTGTTATTGTTGTTGTTATTGTTGTTGTTATTGTTGTTGTTATTGTTGTTGTTATTGTTGTTGTTGTTATTGTTGTTGTTGTTGTTGTTGTTGTTATTGTTGTTGTTATTGTTGTTGTTATTGTTGTTGTTATTGTTGTTGTTGTTGTTATTGTTATTGTTATTGTTATTGTTATTGTTATTGTTATTGTTATTGTTATTGTTATTGTTATTGTTATTGTTATTGTTATTGTTATTGTTATTGTTATTGTTATTGTTATTGTTATTGTTATTGTTATTGTTATTGTTATTGTTATTGTTATTGTTATTGTTATTGTTATTGTTATTGCTATCGTTATTGTTATTGATATCGTTATTGTTATTGATATTGTTATTTTTATTGTTATCGTCATCGTCATCGTCATCATCGTCATCATCACCATCACCATCACCATATCATCACCATCATCATCACCACCACCACCACCACCACCATCATCATTATCATAATCATCATAATCATCATCATCACCATCGATAACATTCAATTAAAATTAATGTTTTAAGATGAAAATGGAAATTATATATAGCTAATTAAAATAGGAAAAATTGAAAATAATAATCCCAACTATTGCTGGTTCGCTAACAATAATCCCAGCTATTGATTATTTTTGTATGAATCAGACTTGGGGTACACACTTTGTATACACACTCTTACACACTCATGTCTGTGAGACGTTTTTTATGTCTGTCCCACACAAAACGTATTTGTCAAATACATTTTTTCTGGAACATACATAAAAAAAGCCTTCACAGACATGAGCGTGTAAGAGTGTGTACAAATAGTGTGTACCAATAGATTTTTTCTTTGTGTATAATCCCAACTATATGGACCGTCTGCCAATAATGGTTCATGACCGCATATTACATGCTCTAACAAGTGAATTTTTAATAAAAAATAAGCGTAAAAATTTTAAATTTGGGATTATTTATAGGGATTACGTGTTATATCTTTTTAGAAACTATATGAATTTATTTATAGTTGGTCACGTCAGACCATTATTGGCGGAAGGTCCCTAAAGTTGGGATTATTCTGAAATAATCGATAGTTGAGATTATTATGACGGACCGCCAATAGTTGATATTATTACAATCAATTTTTCCATTAAAATAAACTATGAACTTACGTAACTAAATATCAATATATGTAATATGAAAAGCAGGTAATTTAAAATTTAACATATGATAAATATATGTATGTAACTATTAAAATCAAACATTGATAGATACTTTTATCCTTATTTCATTTTCGTAATGAATTGATTAATTGTCATTATTTCGAAAAAAATCATATTCCAATACATAATTACATACAAGAAATCAAGAATTACATACAACTCATAAGAATTATATAGAATGAAAATGATGAATCGTTTTTAAATAATGTCTGAATTGAATATTTCATGTACATTTTAGATAAATAAGCACTCATAGTAATGAGATATATTTTCTTTGTTTTGCTTCTGAGTCGTGTCATGTAAATAGTGAGTGAATTGTACCATATTTTTAAAATTTGGAAAAATAATCTATAGTATGCATCAAATTTTGCCAATTTCACCTTTAGATAGTGTTGATTTTCCAGAAATCATAACTTTTTACTCATAATGAGTTACAAAGACCATAATATTTCAAATCGAAAATATTTCAGAGCTTTATACTCTATTTTTAAAGAAATGTTTGTTTTAAGAAAAAATCTATTTTTACTCGAATTTTGTACCTGTAGCCTGAGTACACTGTGCACCCATCCTTTCCTATCTACAGTGTACTACAATGATTCTGCCACCGTTTGGGCCCATAATTTAGTTTCATCGGTTGCCGAAGCATTCTTCTAGCTTAATATTCGTATATACCATTTCCCATCGCGACTTTCTGATTTATCTCGGAGAAGAAATTGGTGAACGCTTTCAACCATGTCATCTTCGGCCGCCGACAGCATCTCGAAGCTCTCCGTTGACGGCGACAACTGGGCGTCATGTGCTCCCAATCTCCAGAGCAACCTATCTATTCTGCCTCCTCAACATGTACACTCTTTTTCAGTATTGTATTTGTTATCGATCTGATATCCCTGTGCGGAATTTTAAACCGAATTTTCCGTGTTTAGGCGGAATTGGCTAAGATGTTGTTGGAGGCGGGGCAGAGCCATCTCTTTCAGCATTGGCCCATGCCAGGGGTTGATGACGACAAGAAGCGTGCATTCTTTCATCAGGTGTGGTATTTTGTTCTTCGATGTGAACCCATATTTTTTGAAACTTTAATACTGTGTATTGGATGCCAAAATTCAAAATTTACGCATACTGGCTATTTATTCCAGGTTGCCAAACTGAATACAAGTTACCCTGGGGGACTGGCAGCATACATTAAAAGTGCCAGGGAACTGTTGGCAGATTCAAAAGCTGGGAAGAATCCGTATGATGGGTTTACACCATCTGTAAGAAACACTTTTTTGTTTGTTTGACACATAGACTCAAACTACTCTCAGGAATTGAACTTGTAGTTTTTTCATATTATAAATCACCATCTGAAAATGGGAAATTAATTGGATGGACATATTGCCTAATATTCTAGAGTTTGTTTATGAATTGGAGTTAACAAAGTAAGTTTTCAAAAAGAACGGTGTAACAACAGATGGATTTTATTTCAATGATCTGGTCTAGCGATTTTACAGTAGTGTTTGAATGAATGGAAGGACACATTTTGTTATGTGCTTGGTGAATAGATTTGGCAGTGTTTTGCTCCTGTCCCTCTTAATTTTGTTTATTCTGTAGTTGAAAGGCTTTAGTTTTAGCTACTATGCTCTAGCTGTATTGAATACCATTTCTTGAAGAGTCATGTGGAAAAGTAGTAGGACTTGTCACTTTCTGCTGGCGTAAGTGTGTAACTATATTGTACTCCTGTATTTTTTATGATGGTACCATGCAATTTTGGCCTTTTTATATAAGGGCGAATGACACTAAAGAATGTGAAATAGAAACTGAAGACCTGGATTTCTTGGATGGAAGTGAATACAGCTTAGACAGAGTGCGAATTCCACCAACCCGATCCCACATCATGAGTTAGAACTTAGAAGTATTATTTTCACCATTTTGTGCAGTGTGCACATGATCACTTATTATGAGTTACGGTTCAAAATAACAAAAGCCACTGCGATGCTAATGAAAACAGAAGAAAAAGGAACAAAATCTTATGGAAATTGGTTTGAGTTTAGTTCTTAATTCATAGGTACTTGTAAACTTTGGGGGTATTACAGTATTCATTTAGAATACACCACGGTATTACCATGGGTTGTGTTTCACAAAACCATGTAATTTGAAATTTATCAGAAACAGTCTCTCTTCTCCCATTTTCCATCATTTGCAATGGAGCCAAAGATTCATTATTTTTTGGCTTGAGATTATGATGGAATAAAGCAAAATGGCTCACTAAACTGTCTGCGCTTCTTTGTTATGGAGCAGCAGTCAGTCCATGCAATTTTGGACGCGATTTTCATTATGGGTCATCCAGAAACAGTCTCTGTTCTTTAGTACAAGGGTAAGACTGTGTACATCCGACCCCCCCTTACCCCACCGTAGGTTGGAGCCTTTGCGGCACCGGGGTAAATGAAAATGAAAATGAGTCTCTCTTCTCCCAGGGTAGAGGTTTCGTAGACCATATCTGACTATCTGAGTTGGACGTACTGGGTATGTTTGGTTTGTTTTGTGTAATTTGAAGTTTATCCTTTGTTCCTTTTCATACTTGCCGATGATCAATCTACGGTGTAATTTTCTTTGTCTGTGTGACACAATTTTGTCATGCATTAGCTGTAGAACTAACTATGTCTGGATCCAAACGAATGTGGATTACACTTCTTGCAGATTCCATCTGGAGAAAATCTGACTTATGGTGATGATAGTTTTGTTCAATTTGAGGAGGTTGGTGTTAGAGAAGCAAGGAGATCTGCCTTTGTTCTTGTTGCTGGAGGACTTGGAGAGCGACTTGGATACAATGGAATAAAGGTAAATGTGTAGAACTGTCTGCTTTTTAATCTGGCATGACTTGATGTTTATCATGTTTTATGTTTATCCTTTGATTGTAATTTTGTAGTAACTTAAAAAAAAATATCTGATGCATATCTTAGCACCAGTTAAAGTAATTTTGTCCCCTGTGATGAATGAATATTTCATGCAATGTAGTAACAATTGATACCTTTTCCAGGTGGCTCTTCCTCAGGAAACTACCACTGGGACCTGTTTCTTAGAGCACTACATTGAATCTATTTTGGCTCTGCAAGAAGCTAGCTGTGAATCATCACAAGGTTTATAATTGTTATTATTATTATTAGTATTAACATTACTGACATTATTATTATTATAATATTCAACATTATTAATATTTATATTAATATTAATATTGTTAATTTCTTATGCCTTTTAGTTTGCCCACAGAGTATACTTTATATGAAGTATTTGTCAGCGTGTCATGATTTTTTAACTAGCAAAGTCAATATAATGAAAGTGTGTATGATACACATTAGACAAGGAAGTGTCCGTCGGTACCACTGAGTGCACAAACAAGAATTACTGTTCTAAAGGATTAATTATCTTATTAATGAATAGGACCCCTCTATTTATGGTATTTTCTAGAGTCTTGGTGGACCAGGATTAGAGTAACCTTAAAATAATACAATACTGCTACATAGGAATATTAACTAGAATAGAATACCTATACTCATAGGGAACTACTAGTATTAATAATAACATGAAAGTGTTAAAATATACGGAGTATTAGAAACAATATTATCATATTAACTCATTATTCAATGTATATGTCCTTGAGCCTCCCTCTTCTCACCACTTTTTGTTTGATGTCCAAACTCCGAACTCCAAAGAATATAAAATAGTAGATGTTCTTTAGTTTCATTTTTTATGGGGATGAATATATTTGGAATTTAGTGACCTATTTTACAAATAATGTTTACTTGGTTGGAATTTAGAAGATGATAATAAAAGGAACTTATTTTTCTCTGAAGATGTAAATGTCTCCCATTCCTTTGAATGTAGAGTTTCTAATAGACATAACTCTCTTGTTTTCTACTCATTTCTTTATTTTATAATTCTAGGCGAAAGCCCAATCGATATCCCACTAGTTATAATGACTTCGGATGACACGCATTCACGGACTCTACAACTGTTAGAGTCAAATGCATATTTTGGAATGAAACCAATACAAGTGAAACTTCTAAAGCAAGTGAGTTCCTGATAATCAATATAGTAGGTGCTTGAATAGTGGGCTTTATAATTTACTAGCTATGTGCTGCTCCGATTTATTCCAGGAAAAAGTTGCTTGCTTAGAGGATAACGATGCACACCTTGCCTTGGATCCTCACAATAAGTACCAAATCCAGGTAATTGCATTGTATTTACATTGTGTTATATTGATTGATTAATGCTCTTTTGTTTATTTGCCCGTTTTCTGATCTGATGCTTCTCCTTTACTCTGCCTCAGACAAAACCTCATGGGCATGGCGACGTTCATTCACTTCTGTTTACGAGTGGGCTACTTAAATCATGGTATATATGCACATGTACTTTCTCTTTTATCAAGTACAACTAAATGGAATTCACATATGTCTGCATGATAATTGATGTATTTAAGATAAGTCCATGTCTTTCACTTGTTAATTATAAAGGAGTACTTCTCTATATTCATAAGTTTTTACTCTGTTATGTAGTCTGCCGGACTTGAAATGTGGAAGTTATACGTATAAATTTCCATGTTCCATCATTCACAATGGAGCCAAAGAATCACTATTTTTTGGCTTGGGAATATGACGGAATAAAACAAAATGTCTCACTAAACTGTTTGTGCTTCTTTGTTATGAAGCAACAGTCAGTCCATGCAATTTGACGTGATTTTCACTATGGGTCATCCAGAAACAGTCTCTCCCTGCTTTAGTACAGGGTTAAGACTGCGTACATCCGACCCCCCTTACCCCACTTTAGGTGGGAGCCTTTGCGGTACTGTGTTAATGATGATGATGACGATGATATGATAATATGATATTATCTGTAGTATCTAACATTTTTTCGGAAAATTGTTTTTTCATTCATTAGGCATGATGCTGGCTTGAGATGGGTTCTGTTTTTCCAAGACACCAATGGCCTTCTTTTCAAGGTTTGTGGAAGTTACTTTGTTTAATTGTATGGTTATGCTAAAAAATACACCTTGAGACCAAGTGCATCCTTTACAGGCTATTCCGGCATCACTTGGTGTAAGTGCCAAAAAACAGTACCAAGTCAATTCTCTAGCCGTTCCTCGCAAAGCAAAGGAGGCTATAGGGGGCATCACCAGACTTACCCACAAAGATGGTAATATCGTATATGAGCACAAGATACACCTAGTTATTGAGATATTGCCATGCGTATTTACAACATTTATTATTGTCCGCACAAATACTGATGGAAGAAAAAATCAGGCCTATTGCTCATGAGTCCTGCATTGATTTGTGCAGACATTTTCCTAATTGACACTTGAGACAATTATTCCCTTGTTGAATAGTACCATAACTGCACTAGTCCAATATATTGTTGTTCTTCAGATATGCTTTGGCCTTGAAGTTCATGTATATACTTTTTTCAAAGAATAACCAAAGTGACTATGAACTATGAAGTGATTAATGTTAAAAAATCATCACTGAATGAATATCCACTGTTTTTGGATGGTTTCCTTTTGGTGCATGGTATGACTGCACAAGTTTTTTTTAATTGCACTTTAGTGCTGTATCACCAGTTTCCACGTGCTCTCTCCAGTCCCCATTGTCTAACTCTTAGACCGCTGGAAGTAACTTGTTCTTAATATTACACCTAGTACTAGTATTTATCGTACTTGCAGTAATTGTAATATTACGTTTTAGGGAGAGCAATGGTGATCAATGTGGAATATAACCAGCTTGATCCATTGCTTAGAGCAAGTGGGTATCCAGATGGCGATGTCAATTGTGAAACAGGATATTCACCTTTTCCTGGGAACATAAATCAGGTTTGTAACTTTATACCCGTTTGTGTTATTTGTGTTTTTTTGCCTCTTTAAGGAAAGATACTGGTATAAATACTTTATCTACCATGTAACCTTTAAATCAAGGATGTTCTTTGCTTCCTGTCACTTGAGTGATGTGATATATTATTAGGAAATCACAGGTTTGCATAGTACTTACTGTTAGTGTTATTTTTTTTTTTGCCTCAACTCAGACTCATTACTTATGTTTTTGTACTGCGCAGTTGATAATCGAGCTTGGGCCTTACATTGAGGAGCTCACAAAAACTGGAGGAGCCATAAAGGAGTTTGTTAATCCCAAGTAATTTCTCATTTTCTAGGATATTTTGATAACATCACGATTCAAGTAGCACATCTTTTGAGTATATTTGATTGTATTGTGTTAGTTGTTACTTTAAAGTATGATTGTATTTGGCTACTGATTTTCGAACACTCCTGAAAATTCTGACTAAATATGTTCTGCTTTGCATTAGGTACAAAGATGCCACCAAAACTGCATTTAAGTCTTCAACTCGCCTTGAATGTATGATGCAAGATTATCCTAAAACATTGCCTCCTTCTGCTAGAGTTGGATTTACTGTAAGTGAGCATTTCTACTTAATATGATATTAGTTACATACATTTGATTGTGTTTAGACTTCATAGTGTATTTTGTTTATATTATCACATGCAAAGTTCAATTTCAGAGCTCATATGTTTTTCATTTTATAATAATACTTCGTATAAAACTAAAAAGACCTTGAGTTCCATGTTGGTGTTCTGCCAATGAAGTTATGAAACCCGATACAGACATGATTTAATAAATTAAAAGTTGGTGGGATTTTGTCAATTGTCATGCTTCTTCTTGTGTTTGAATGCACGTCTTGTTGGATTTGTATGGCGCATTTAAATGTAATACTGTTTGAATTGAACACTTAGGTGATGGATGTGTGGCTTGCTTATGCGCCTGTTAAAAACAACCCCGAAGACGCTGCCAAGGTATGACCATAAATAATGAGTTCACTATTTCAATAGCAGCGAATTTGTTTACTCTATTCATAACAGAGATTGATGTGTTTTGTGATCCACACCATCACTAATATTTTATCTGTTGATAATTTTCTGTGACTGTGAAGGTACCAGAAGGTAACCCATTCCATAGTGCTACTTCTGGAGAAATGGCAATATATCGTGCACATAGCCTCATTTTGAGAAAGGTACTTAAATAATTTCTTGAGCCATGTGTGTGGTTTTTATTATTTGTTTCTTAGACTAATATAGTAATATATAAATGGAATTGCAAACACCAGTTTAAGAACCCATTGAGCCCTTTTTCTGGTGAAGGCGTGAAGCCATCAAAGCATTAGCTCTTACCTTTCATTAACAATCAAAAGAGGCTGGGAAACCCCAAGTCATACAGAATGTGTAACAATAAACTAGGATCAACATCAGAAATAGAATGAACACCAATAAGTAATCTATGGCCTAAGTCAACCAAAAAGTCTGCGGCCCGGTTGCCCTCCCGGTAAATGTGTTCAACCTTGACCGTCCAATTTCGAGCTATCAGCTCACAAAACTGTGCGACCTCAGAAGAGTGCTGGTGTGTGCGATCACCTTCCGCCATCAAAATCTGAATTGCAGCATGCGAGTTCAGCTGCACTCGTACCTGACGGTACCCAAGAGAACCCATTGCATGACTACTTATCCCTAAACATAGGGAGGTCATCATTCGCTAGCATGTTTGGATTCTTCATATCTTATTACTTCTAAAAGTTTAATAATATCAAATGGAACTGGTGAACATCATTATCCATAAAAATACTACCTCCCCCTTTTTTTATCTCCTGGTTTGACTTTGCACTACTTATAAAATGGAAACAGTGTTGATGAGATTTAAATAGAAAATAGAGAAGCAATATGAACCATATAATCTTTTCTTTAAATGGAAACATAATATTCCCTTCTTCCCTAAAGTGTCCACTCCTTTTCATCCGTCTCAAAAATATCCCCCATTTCCTTTTGAGGAAAAAGTTATGTGGTTGACATTCTTTCTCTAATCCAAATAAATTTCAACACGCAGTTTACTTTTTCATAAAAACTGTGCAAGTCAAACTTGCATGTTAATTTAAGGAAGTATGTAATAATATTGAGACGGGCAAACAAAGTACAACATATAAGAGGGACAGTGAGAGAGTATATATATGAATTATGTCGGTTTCCTTCCAACCAAGATTCAAATGAAGTGTTTTGACACCATTTAATATTTCCATTGCAGGCTGGTGTGAAAGTAGATGATCCAGTCCATCAGGTATTTAACGGACAGCGGGTGGAAGTGTGGCCACGTGTTGTATGGAAGCCTAAATGGGCACTCACTTTCTCCAACGTTAAAAGCAAAGTGAGTGGAAACAACTCCATTTCACAAAGATCTACTCTGGTAATAAAAGGTAAAAACATCATCCTTGAGGACATATCATTAGACGGAGCTCTAATCATCGACGCTCTTGACAATGCAAAGGTAACACAGCCAACTGATTTAGTCCCAAATCCTAGTCTTTCTTTTGGTTGTTGGGATTGGTTTTGTTTTTATGGTGGTGGGCATGCTTATTGATAGGTTAAAGCTGGAGGGTCCTTTGATAACAAAGGATGGGTGATTGAGACCGTTGACTATAAGGATACATCAGTGCCAGAAGAAGTGCGAATCAGAGGGTTCAGATTTAACAAGGTTGAGCAGCTGGAGAAATCCTATAGTGAGGCCGGTGAATTCTCTTTGAACCCTTAGACATGGTTCGATGTCTTAAGGGGGGCGATGATCAATATTGCAACACCTCTTCAAATCAAATGTAACATTCTTTCTTCGAAAAATTTGTTCCTTGATTATTTATGTGAAGGGAAAATAAATAATAAAAGAGTGGTGATAGATAGGCTGTGAAATCTCCAAATAAGTAGATCCCTTCCAAGTTCCAACTCTTGAATCATCCTCTCTTTATTTAATTTATTTATGTCCAGAAAGCAGATACATTTATATTTGTGAACTTGTTCATAATATCATACTCCGTATATTCATATGTACATTATTCTATGCACTATATGTTCATCATTATTTGTTACCTCTATTGATCTGATTGGCGCGAGGGAACACTTTCATTTGGTTGTTTTGTATGAATCTGACGTAAATGACCGAAATAAAAAGGAAAGCAAAGAAACTACTTTTTGTAGGCTTGTGTGACACGTTTCCTTGAAATGGTGTCTTTGGCTGTGTTATTTGAAAAGTTATTTGAAAACAGCCTTGCTTCTTATATACTGCTATACGCCATTTCGATACACTCCCTCGTGGCTTGTGAATTATTTGTCTGTGAAATTGTGAATACATCATTTATGTGAACTGTGTATTCAAAGACAAAAAAATCATGGCAGCAAAGTATAAATTTGTACTCGATTTCAATTCTTTGATCCAAAAACATGAAATTTATTACTGTAGTACGCAGGCAGTATTTAATAGACAATTTCCACAAGTTTCTGTGATAAATAAAAGAAAGTGCCAGTCCACAATTTTAATTTTAGTGTTTGAGAGTTGGGATGGACCAAACCGGCCCGACCCGCTACTGTGCAGGCCTGGCCCGGGTAACTTATGGGCGGTTCGGGCTTTGACCTATCCGGGGGGGGGGGGGGGGGGGGGGTGGGGGGGGGGGTGGGAGTAGAGCGATTCGGGCACGGTTCAGGAAAATGGCGGCCCGGTTCGGGCCCGGTCCGGGCCTAACGACTATATTTAAAAAAAATCTTTGGCCAACCAAACAGGCCTTATAGCCATTGTAATTCAACCCAAATGGCTCTATAGCCGTTGGGACTTGAGAGCCTTCTAGGGGGTCCCGGGGTGGGTTGGGGGCTGGTGGGGTACAAAAAATCTATAAATACTACATTTTTTCTATACAATTGATGGAGTATATGGTCCGGGAACTTCCGGCCCACAGACTCCTACTACTCCAATAAAGGCCCAACAGGCCCAGAAGACCCAACAGGCCCAAATCACGGCGCCCAGAGTAACAAGCAGCCCACAATGCGCACCAGGAGTGCCTTCGGCCCCCTGGCCGAAGGCTCTTACTCTCACAGGAGGGCCAACACAGCAAAACAAAGTTACTGGGAAAACGGCGAAAATCAGTAACCCTCGGCACCCGGAGTCCTCGGCACCCAGGGGGTCCCCGGTACTCAGAGCCCTCGGCTAGTCCTCTACAGCCAAGGGCACCTTTCCCGACATGATATCCGCGCCACATGCGTGCAGATCACCGTACCCTGTACAACGTCCCATCCAACAGCCGCATTAAATGCGGCCACATGCGGTTGCCAGCGCCAACCAGTTGAGGTGACCTCTCGGCCAATGGACGCTTGACGCGTGTCCTTGTCCGGCATTTATTGCTACTATAAATAGCACCCCATTTCCCCATTTGTAACCAAGTCATAAACGCTGAATACTTTCTAATATACTTTCTCTCTCTATACTTAATTGCTCTGACCTCTATCTTATTATTCTCCGCAATAACCCCCTCGGATAAGCTACCCCCGGGCACACTATCCATCATTTGGTGCTCTCGTTGAGAGGTCGAACAATCAAGTAAGAAACCCTCCCCCTCGACCAAACACAAAAACCCCCATCTAAAATGGTGAGAAGTGAGAACGACTCGTGCCAACTCCAAGAATGTAGAGGACAGGAACCTGGCCCTCGGCGAGATCGACGTCCCCGAAGCCTCCAACAGGGCTCCCGGGGGCGGCGTCATCGCCGGGATGGACCAGACGGCTGTCCACCTACGCCAGCAGATTCAGCAAAATGCCCCCGATGCTCGCCTCGGCATCGAGGCCAAGAAAAAGGACCAGAGCGAAAATCAAATTAGCCCCGGTCCTCACCATCGACGTTCAATCGGCGCTCTCCGCCTTCATACAGACACTCACTCAGAACCCGGGTGCCTTCGGCACTTTGGTTCCCCACCAGCCTCAGGTTGGGGAGAATGTTATGCCTCCCCCTCATCCACGGCCCCTCGGTAATCCGGTCCTCCGGATGGGGAACTCCGAGGGGGTCGTGGCCCAAGATACGGCCTCCCAGGAAGTCCAGTCCCGGGACCGCCACGACGTGAACAAGGAGCACCCCCGGACCTCCGCCCTCGAGAGGCTCGGAGGGGCGCAAGACCGCCGAGGGGTCCAAGACCGCCTCAGGGGGAGGGCATTCCAAAGACCTCAGGAAAGTGGCGGGTCCGTTTCCAGGGCCAATGAGAGACGTCCCCCTCAGGACAAAGGCAAGGCACCTCTCCATGCCGACGACGCACGCCATCAAATCAATCAAGCCCACTCGGCCCGGGTCCATTCGCAGGGGGCGGAGGCCCTCCAAAAGGACCCCCGGGACGAAATCATTGCGGCCCTCCAGCGCCGGCTTGACGAGATGGAGGCCACCAAGGCCCACACCACCACTTCTGCCCCTCATGCGGACTTCAAGTATGAGGCGATGATGGCCAAAATGGAAGAAATGCAGAAGAAGATAGCTGAGGGCTCCGGGGAACCCACCATACAGCTCCGGACCCGGACACCATTTACCCCAAGGGTATTGGCCGCCCGGATCCCGGAAAAATACCGAGGGCAACTCATCAAGCCCTATGACGGAAAGACTGACCCCCTAGAGCACTACAGCAGGTATCAAAACAGCATGATGATGGTGGGGGCATCGGATGAATATTTGTGCCGCTGGTTCCTCTCCACCCTAGAGGGGCCAGCTTACGAATGGTTCAATCGATTGCCCGAAGGCTGCATTGACTCATGGCAAGAACTCGCCCAGCGATTCTTAATGCAATTTGCGGGGAGGCGCCGCACAAGGAAACACTTCTCCCACTTGCTAACAGTGAGGCAGAGGAAGGAGGAGACCCTTCGGGACTTCCTGGAGCGCTGGAGGACGGAGGCTGATAAAGTTGATGGCGCTGACGACGGGACCCTCCTGGCCCTCCTACAAACAGTACTCCGCCCCGGGAACTTCTTAAGAAGCCTCATCATCGAACCCCCCGCGATTATATAAGGGCCCTACAGCGGGGGGACCGGTACGCCGAGGTCGAGGAGGTGGAGAAATGCCACCATGTCCCAGATCAGAAACGCCCTCGGCCAGAAGACAAAGGTAACCGGGGGCCGGGGGCTCCCCGCAATCATCCCAGGGAGTCTGCCCCCTCCGGTGATCGCCCCCGGCATGGCCAAGCCAAGCCCGGGGGAGGCTACAAGGGGAATCTGAGGGCTTGGGCATAACCTGTCCTCCTGGAGCACCCTCGGACACCACTGACGCACCCCGTCAGCGTCATCCTGGATTTTGCTAAGGAGAGGGGCCTCATGGAGCGAGATTCACGCGCGCCCTCGGAAGTATTTGCCATCAACCCAAACTACCCCTACTGTCGTTTCCACCGACACCAGGGGCACAGGACCGATGATTGCCATCAACTGAAGACGGCCATCGAGAAATTGATACAAGCGGGCCATCTGTCCCAGTTTGTACAGGGCCCTCAGCAACAGGCCCCCCTTCATCAGGGGCCACCCCGAGGGCAAACTGCGAGAGGGAATGCATGGGTCAACCCCAACACCATCCCCCTCGGCAAGAAGAGGGAGATTGGAAATCTGGAGGAGGAGGAGGAGGAGTACCCCCGGTACCAAGAAAAGAAACGTCACATCCTCATGATTACCGGGGGAAATACCGGGGGTGACTCTACAAGTCAACGAAAGAAGTGGGCTCAGTCACTTTACGTGGGGGAAGTCACTCATATGCCCCCAGTAAAACGGTTGAGGGAGGAACCCATTGTCTTCACTAACGCTGATCTCCCCCCAGTATCCTCCCCCCACAGGGATGCCCTCGTCATCCGCACAGAGATCAACGACACCATTATCCACAGAACTTACATTGACACGGGCAGCTCTGTCAATGTAATGTACCTCAGCACCTTCAGAGAGCTGCATCTGGAGAGGGGGTCGATTCGGCCCATCAAGACCCCTCTTGCCGGCTTCACCGGCGACACCATTGATTCCGAGGGGGTCATAACCCTCCCGGTCATCTTCGGTGACGGCCTCCATAGAGCCAAGCTCGAAGTGGAGTTCGTCGTCGTCAACATCGACTGCGCCCACAACATCATCCTCGGCCGGCCAGCCCTCGAGGATCTCAAGGCCGTCATCTCCATGAGGCACATCTGCCCCGAAGGGGGGATTGGTTACTCAAGGGGAAACCAAAAGCTCGCCCGCGCTTGCTACCTTCAAGTTACAAAGAAGGTTAGCAAGACGGAGTTCCGCGTTGACACCATCACCGGAACTGTGGAAGCGGAAGAAATGAGGCCGAGGGCTGAACCAGACGAGGAGGTAGAAGACTTCGCGCTCGATCCGGCCAAGCCGGAGAGAGTTGTGAGGATTGGAGCCAAGCTCCCCGAAGATTTGAAGACCGGCATCATCAGCGCCCTCCGAGCCTACTCCATTGTTTTCGCATGGGGGCCGGAGGACATGCCGGGGATCAGCCGAAGGGTCATCACCCACCGCCTCTCGGTGGACCCCTCGGCCAAGCCAGTACAGCAGCGGAGGAGACCCCTCTCGGCCGAGAGGAGGGAATTCGTGAAGAAGGAGGTCGCCATGCTCCTTTCTATCAAGCACATTAAGGAGGTCAAGTACCCCTCATGGCTGGCAAACGTAGTCCTCGCACAAAAACCGCCCTCATTCCGAATGTGCGTGGACTACACGGATCTCAATAAAGCGTGTCCCATGGACCCTTTTCCTCTGCCCAATATCGATCAACTGGTGGATGAAACGCGGGGGGTGTGAAATCATGTCATTCCTCGACACATTCTGCGGATATCATCAAATATACATGCATGAGGAGGACGCTGAAAAAACAGCCTTCATGACTCCCGAGGGCATCTTCTGCTACCTTGTCATGGCCTTCGGCCTAAAGAACTCAGGCGCCACCTACACTCGGATGGTGGCCAGGGTATTTCAAGCTGTCCTGGAGCGCACCATGGAGGCATATGTTGACGATATGATCGTCAAAAGCAAGCAGTCAGCAAGCCATGCTGACGACCTGAGGGAGATCTTCGCCATCATGCAGAAGTTCAGCCTTCAGCTGAACCCAAAGAAGTGCAC